TCGGTTTGCATCTTCAGTTCCTCCACGATTTCGGTTACTACACCACCCTTGGAGCTTTCTGCCAATGCCCCAATCTGAACCCTCAGGCCATCGATGGCTTCCATGACAGTAACATTGGGCACCGCAATCCTGGTTTCAAAAAGTTCCCCAAGCTCGGTTTTGAATCCCTGTAGTACAGTCCGAATTCGCTCTGCCGCTTCTGTGTTCTCGGCAGGAAGAGGCATCATCGATAATTGTAGTGTGTCACGAACATCGCGTTTCAATTCCTCGATCGCTTCTTTCACACTCTCTTCGGAATCGAAGGTCGAATTCGCAATGGCGGCTGCTAAGCTGTGTTGAACCATCTCACCAATCTCTGATTTGAGACCTTCAAGTACTCCCTCTATTCTTTCAGCAGAACGGGGTGGGAGTCCTTCGGTGTCGGTGGGCCTGGGGGCCACCATAGACATTGTTTTATCCATTAATTCACTCACCTCCCTCCGGAGCCCTTCGATGGCTTCCCTCACATCACTGGAGCTTTGCTCAGACGCCGGCGATTTAGCGAGAATGCTGGCAATGTCGTTTTTAATCTCAGCGAGGAGTTCTTTTGTCGCCTCGTCCGAGCCATATTGGGGAACAATCATAGATGCGGACTTTTCTACCATTCCAGCAAACTCCTTCCGAAGGTCCTCCAACAGCTCCTTGAGATTGCCTGAGTCAGAAGCTGCAACCAGGGACTTTTCCATGGCGCTTCCGATGTCCGCTCGGAGGCCCTCAATGGCTTCTTGAATTTTGTAGGTAGATTCTCCGGTTTGAGGCGTGCCAACAGCCATATTGATACTCTTCTCAACCATTTCGTGGACCTCCTTCTTGAGATCTTCGATGGCGCTCGTCATTTTTTCGGACACCTCCGGATTGGAAACCATAGACCTTTCAACTTCCGTATTTTTCTCAATTTGTCCAACCACCTCCTTCATCTCATCCAGAGCCTCCTTCACCACCCCTTCAAGGCTGGACGTTGAGTTGGAAGAAACGGCTTCTGATATTGACTGGCTCACTTCTCCTAGCTCAGCCTTAAGTTCGTCAACCGCTTTTTTCAATTTTTCGTCCGTTTCAACAGAGGAATCACTAAATAGAGCAATTGTGTTATCCATGGTTTTTGTGATCTCGAGAGCTAACGACTCGATTCGCGCCTTAATAGATTCTGCCTCAGGATATGATGTAGGGGGCGCCAACGCGGTTACTGACTTCTCCATCAACTCAGTGACCTCGGCTTTTAGTTGGTCGATTGAAGTCTGTATTTTCTCGGTGCCTCCAGCTTTATCAGTGATGACAGATTTCATGTCTGTAATGGCTGCGCTCGTTTGGTCGTTAGAAGTATTAAAGGATCGCTCAATTAGCTCTCCGAGGGTGCACTTTAGAGCTTCTATGGCCGCTTGGGTGGGGGCGGACTCCTTGAGTTTGGCAAGCCCTTTTGAGCTAGATTCACTTGTTGACAGGATTCGCTCAAGGAGGTCTTTGACTTCGGCCCTGAATGTTTCAATCGAAGTCACCGGATTCAAAGTATTGATGGCCTCAACGCTCTGCTCTGTAGCTCGTTGGAGTTCAGATTTGAGATCTGCAAGTGCTTCCTTAGAATCCGCAGCTGCGAAGGCAGCCAAGCTTCTCTGCGCCATTGCTCCCAGCTCACTCTTTAGCTCTTCTATGAGAGAGACGGGGTTAGAATTGTTTATGGCCTCAACAGCCTTCTCCGCAGACTCCTTCACGGCTTCCATATTCTTCTCCAGGAGCTCCTCAACCTCGCTCTGGAATTCTTCCACCACAGCCCTTACACCGACATCTTGCTTCCAGATCATCTCATCCCCATTGGTAAGCATTGTCTTCTGTAAATGTTTGTGGAGGAACATAAGCTCTTCGATTTTCCGGAGAGTTGCACCCTCAAACTCGGCGAGTCGGTCATTCCCACTACTAACCCCAGAACGCACCACTTCGAGGAGCTTGCGAGTTTCTCCCGTCTGGGAATGGGTATTTGAAACAGTGTTGCCGAGTTCTTGGAGAAATCTGCTGATGTTGAGCACGGTCTCGTGGGTATGAGTATTGGCGCTGTTCATGTCTTTATGGAAAACCTTGATCAAGGCGTTTATGGTGGAAAGAGTGATATCTGTGCGAGTTGTAGTTGACGCAATGTTAGCAAGAGCGGTGATAGCGGCTTCATTGTCCAAGTCAGGTGGGAGAGGAGGATTAGTCATGGTGAGTGCTGTAGATTGCAGACCTGGGGTGCTGTGTAGCCTGGATATTGCCTGTCTCTGTTCCGTAACCAGAATTTCGATCTCCTTCATCAGGTCCTTCAATGCTTCATGTGCCTCCTTGTCATGACCAGCCCACCGTTCTTTCCATTCATCGATGAGTTTCTGAACATCTCGAGCTGTCTCCTCGCCCGAATCCACGCCCTGCTTAATATGCTTTAAAACATTGAGAATCTCATTGCTCTCCACCGAGTCTCGTGTAGATTCTGCTCCTGTAGTATCTTGTGATGAAGGTGAGCGCTTAGTTGTAGATGAGCCGATGGAATTTGCCAAATCTTCCTTCACGCCATCCATCCTAGCTTTGATCTCTTCGAGCAAGGAGAGAACCCTTTCGTCTCCTCCTTTATCCTTCAGTTCTTCAAGGGAGGACAAGACGGCATCGATTCTAGAACCCCCCTCCTTGTCTCGAATTTCCTCTAAAAGGGAAATGACCTGCGCGTTTCCACCTTCCTCCTCCTTTTGCTTCAATTCCTCAAGTAAACTAATGATCCTCACATCACTTTCTCTCTCTTCCCTCTGATATAGAGTCTCTCGGATAATCTGAAGCATAGACACTATCTTCTCGTCCATATCACTATCCCTCTCCCTCCCAGGGATCACAAGCTCTTTCCCTTTGCTATAGTCTCGCTCCTTGAATTCCTCCAGCAAAGATAATATTTTTTCTTCGTTTTCCAGCCTATCTAACTGGGGCTTATTGAGGGTATCTTGGATATCTCTCAAGAGATCGATGACGCGGTCCTGTTCGTCTTTCGTGGACATTTCTCTCAAAACCCGCTCAAGAGTTGCCATTTCGAGACCAGATTTGTCGCCTCTGGCTCCAGGTGGGGTTGCGAAGTTATCACTCGCATAGCTTGAAGCTCGACTACTCGTAGAAGCGCCAGAAGTGATAAGCGGAAGCGAAGGATTAGTGAGTAACCTGTCACTCTCCAGACTATGGAGGTTATGGACGAGGTCCCGAAGGGATTGACGGATATCTTCATCTCTACTTTTAGTCGCCTCTTTGAGCGAGATGAGATCGGTAGCATTGTCTTTAGAGCGGCGAGAAAGATTTGCCATCTCCCTCTGAAGACTGTTGGCTATCGATGTAAGCCCGGAGAGCTGGGATGTGATCGTCTCAAGTTCCTGAAGCGAAAATTTAGGCCCATCATCCCTTCCTTTATCTCGGCTTCGTGATTCCCAGTCACCTTGCCCCCCGTCTCGATCACGAGGAAGAGGAGGAATGCTATAGTCTTTAAAATCTTTGAGGTCCTTAAGATCCTTGAACTCTTTAAAGCCTTTGAGGTCTTTAGTGGTAGCAAGTGCGCTGGAAGGAATTGCAGCCGACATTGATTCGTGAGATTTGAGGTTACGCAGCGGTGGAAGGAGATTTGGCAGGCGATCAAGGTCCAGTGAACCACGATAATCAGGCGGAGGGGCGGGCGTAGGCGCCTGTTCCCTAGCCGGAAAGCTAGTGCTACTCCCAAACAATTCCTTGGGTGTAGGTGTCCCGCTTTTGCTGGGCGAACTCGATCCTCCATTCAAGATGAGGTTACCCATCTCACGAACTGTTTGAGATGGTTGCATGGAATTCATCCGCCTATGAGAAGCCATCACTTGCTGTGCTCTGGTTGGCGATATATTTGGCCCCGAAGGGGATCCTTCTCGATGGGGTGGGGCCTGAGGCGCTCTGCGAGTTGGTGATATCTCTCTTGAGATTGGTGTTGGGGACGCTCTATCTGCCGCAATGAATGGGTTCTGCAGCGTCCCAACTGTGCGAGGCGAGTTCGGAGCCCCAGGGTGAGGATTTAGAGGAAGAGGCGGGGGGTGCCTAGTGGGGTCCGACGAGTCCCACCTATTTCCAGAATGCATGAGGATTAACGAATATAAGAAAGGCTTATTTTCAAGAGAAATGGTTGACACAAGGGATTTAGGGGAGAGTGGATACTAACATTGGCGGGATGTGGGTAAGAGCTTGGGAGTTGGGGGCAGATGAAGAGGATGAAGATGGAGTTTTGGGGGCAGCAGGTGCTGCAGGCGGCATATTTGTTTAATGTTGTTCTGTTTATTCCACCTAATTGTATCATAGAGCACCCACGTCAGTTAGCGGGATGATGCAAGGGATTAGCGTGAAATGGGGCCCAAAGGAATTGAAGCTCACGATGAAAGTAGTCTACCCTCCCTATGCAAAGGAAGGAAGCAAATATCTGGGGAGCAAGAAGAAAGGTAAATTATTGAAAGCAAGAGGAGTGATAGTGATGAGGGGAGACGGAGGAGACAAATAGAGAGACAGAAATTGGGATCGAGGGGAACAGGGGAGGTTATGTTTGCTTCGATGTAGTACTGATCCTGGCCTGATGAGCTGCAGTACAACAAACGTGTGCATAGGGCGAGAGAGAGCAAACAAGAATCAGTGCCCAATTAGTCGACCAACACACAGACTCAGCTGTTGAGCGGAGAATAAACACTAAACACCAGGCCTCTTGGGGATTGGGTCGTTGCTATGGAAACGATAACCTTGTGTCCATTACGTGTGGCTTGCGTGGGGTAAATCGTCACCAAAAGTAGGAAAGGTGGCGCAGAGCAATACCCGGCAAATATTTAATTTACCCTCGTGCTAGCAGAGGAGGAAAAAAAAGGGTTAGTTGCAACTGTGACTGCCCTGCCGCAATTCTCCCCACAAATCCAACCCATCGAATTTTAGTGCATCAGAAACTCGTCCAACGCCAAACTACGGAGACTACGGCAATAATCCACAACACCCCACGACAAATCCCCCTTTTCCTATTCTCTCACCGCGGTAGGCATACGAAATGAAGTGTACGTACAATCCTGCTGCTATTTTTTTTCGCCCCGGAAGCCTCCAGATGTCGTTCTGCTCAGTGGATACTTGTCGGGTTCTCCAGGGAAATTCCGGCTGCTCCCAAGAGGAGGGGAAACTCTAAATAAGTAATGGATTAGGGGGAGCGGTGGGGCACGTTCGAGATCTTGTGGATTATCTGGCTAGCTCGGGGTATGTCTGTCCAGCAGAACTGATATTTCGGTATTTCTTAGTCCTTAAAAACGGTAGAGTTGCTATCATCACCCGGGGCAGGTACGCCGGTAAGAAGGTGTGAAACCGAGATATCCTAATTTCTAAGGTCGTCTAAATGCTGATAAAAAATTCAGGTTGTCATTGTCAAGGGTTAGTCCGTGCGTTTTTCTCAATCCAACTCAGCAAGCTTCTAACCCTTGGAGAACCACAGTGATGGATGATGGCAGCAAGTCCCACCCCTTTGGTCATGCTCTCGTTGCTGGAATGGAGAGATACCCGTCCAAAGTCACCCGCTCGATGTCGAAGAAGAGAGCCGCCAAGCGCTCCAAGGTCAAGCCCTTCATCAAGATTATCAACTACAATCACCTTATGCCCACTCGCTACACCATTGATCTCGAGACCCTGAAGGGGGTCATTTCCCAGGACACCTTCAAGGAGCCTTCGCAGAGGGAAGAGGCTAAGAAGACCATTAAAAAGGCATTTGAGGAAAGGTACCAGAGTGGAAAGAACAAATGGTTCTTCACTCGTAAGTCATTCTGATCGAAACAGATCCCGGCATAGCGAAATTTTACTAATTTCATGTTGCACAGCTCTACGGTTTTAAGCGGTTTCTTTGCTCTCTCTTTTTTTCCTCTTCGTGACGGTTTCATGTTGATAAAAAAACAAATAAAATTATACTCCAGTTAAGGATGCCAATGGCTGGACATTTCTGTACCTGGGGGTAAATGGCTGATAAGGGTCGTATTCCCTTCAGACATAGCACGGCAGCCGTAGGGTTTCCGTTGGATGGCCCGTCAAATGTCCTAGTTTTATACTTGCGATTGCTTTGGCCAGAATGCTGTACAATTTCTACCAAATTTATTCATTCCTTCCTGGATTCTGATCCTATACTCGAGTAACGTACCCATAGCAGCCACCAATGCCGCACCTAAATATGGGGATAGTATGTTTTATCTATCGAACAAACCAGGACTGGTATGGGACAGTTATTTGTGCTACCATGCTGATACTACGGTACTATCAAAGAGCACCTCATACTACCGATATGTTATTCATTGCAAAGCAGACGGTATCCTCGAAACCTAGCTCTAAAGTCCATCGCTAGACGAGCACTGACCGAATACTGTAAGCGGACACCTGAGACTCCAACAATGTCAGAAGTGATGCCGGTGCCCCTAAGCGCTGGGGCTGAGAAGGGATCACCTAAACACACGCCAAACCCGAAGCCGTTCCATTTTTCCCCGAATAGGACTTTTAATATCCTATTCGAGTATCATATTCGCTCATCCCATTCCCTCCTTTCTTTCGACACTTCCTCTCAACACCGCCCTTTCTATCTCTCTCCTCTTCTTTTAATCACCTTATCACACCAACCTGTAGACCTGGCGTCCACAGTGTAATTCCTCTTCTTCCTCTCCTAACATACAATCGCATACTTTCATTCAATAATCCTTAATAGGCATACGTACAGTACTCCACATTAAGATGTCAAATCCACCAAGCTTAAGCTCCTTCCAAAGCGATAAACCGCTTCTAGATCATCTAACCAGTAATTCCTCCTCTCCAACCAATAATCCCCCCCTCGCCCTCTCGGGGAAGAAAAAAAAAAAGACCATGCAACTAACAAGGGCCAGTCGACCTCATCTTCGCGATCCTCAACCATACCTTCCTCAACCCGATTTTTGCCTGGTTAATCCCTCTAACCTACCGTGCTCAAACCTTCCAATACCACCATCCACCGCTCTACTTATCCGCCGCCTACGCTGCCTTTGTAACGGTTCTGTGGATAGCGAAGCAGGTCAACCGCCGTCTGGCCTATGGCACCAAACGCGAGTTCGACTGGATGGAGGAAGTGGTAGTCATCACCGGCGGTGCCAGCGGCCTGGGGCTCCTGATCGCAGAGGTGTACGGTATGAGGGGCGTTACAGTTGCGGTGCTCGACGTGAGAGAGCCGGAAGGCGGCGAAGCGCGGAATGTAGATTTTTATAAATGCGATGTTGGCGACAGGAAGCAGGTTGAGGCTGTTGCTAAGGAAATCGAGAGGGACTTGGGGGCGCCCACTGTGCTGATAAATAACGCCGCGATTGTCAACGGAAAAAGGGTTTTGGAACTTTCGGCGGAGGAAATTGAGACGTATGTCCCCCCATCTATCTTTCCCTGTTTTAAGAAGCTAGCGGTCAATGGTGGTGTATGGTACAACTAACTAACGCGTTGCCAACACCCAGAAATTTCAAAACGAACCTCCTCTCATCGTTCTACACAATCAAGCAATTCCTCCCGGGCATGCTAAAATTAAACCGCGGCTCGATCATCACAATCTCATCCGTCCTCTCCTCAATCGCCCCAGCCCAGCTCTCAGACTATGCCGCTTCCAAGGCAGCCCTAAAATCACTTCACTCCTCCCTCACCGCTGAACTCGCCGACCAACCAGGAATCAAGACGCTCCTGGTCACTCCCGGACAGCTCTCAACCCCCCTATTTTACGGCGTTAAGACTCCCAGTAATTTCTTCGCCCCCGTGTTGGAGCCCGTTGACGTTGCCAAGGAGATCATTGCTGCGATCGATGGGGGGTTGGGTGGGCATATTTCCATGCCGGTATACTCGAGGTGGATTGGGGTCATGGAAGTTTTACCAGCCAGTGTTCAGAGGTTTTTAAGGTGGGCAAGTGGTGCGGATAGGGCAATGGCGGGGTTCAAGGGACGGAAGGTATTGGATCAGGAGGGGAATAAGACTTGGTAGGGTTTGTGGTATTGTCGTTTCGCCGCGAATCTTTGTTGTGGAATGGGTACCATTTTTCGGAGGGATGGCTGGGTCTCTTCAAGCCTGCAAAGTATGCTTTGCACCGAGGTTAGGCTCGGTTAAATAGATAGTGGAATGAATCAACTTTTCGTGGGCGAATCAATTTTACATCCGGGAGCACAATTATATCTGTAGGACAAAAAGATCAAAGCAATTACTTCCCCGATCGTCATCGACCGGTAAAGTGTCTATTCGTCTAACCACGATCCCTAATCCAGCATAGAAGCCTGGTTGGTATAGAGCACCTCAACCACATCCGATAGCTTTTTAATAGTCTCCAACGCAGCATCATAGCTCTTATCCCTCCCAACCTCGTCAAACACAATCAAGCAACCGCTCCCCTGGTCCAACACCCCGGAGAAGACCTTATCCAGGATCATCTGACTCAGCTTGGCTTCCACATGCGGAGTCCCGAGGCCAACCAACTTGGCAACGTGCTCGATCTCCACGCGCGAGAAGGGCTCAATGACCCTGACCAAGTTCTGTTCCAGGAGGGTATCATATAGCGCGGTGAAGTGAGATCTGATGAATGGGTCAGATCTCAACTCCTCCTTGAAGGTTTCAAGAGCCTTTTCGAACTCGGCCAAGGAGCGGTTCGAATGAGCTCTTGCTACCGCTTTCATAGCCTCGATATCGCGGCCGGCGTACTTTATAGCGAGCTTACCGGTCATTATCTGATGGACGTCATCGGTAAGATTCAACATGATCTTTGAAAGAAGCATGTATTTTAGCGCTGCAATGGCCTTCTTCGTCTCGTCCTGGGCCGAGTATCCATCCAGCGCTTCGATAAAGTACGAGAAGGCCGTGTTGTAGTCCTTGTCCTCAGCGTGGAGAATCCCAGATTGCATATCTAAACCGGCTTGCATGAGTGGAGGGCAGTAAACGGCATTGGCGGATGTGCGCGCGGAGGTCAAGGAAGCGCGAGATTTGGGGATGTTTCGGAGAGCATGGTAAGCCCGTGACTCCAGGAGCTGGACTTCTACCAAGACCATTTTGTCATCGAGGCGTTTTAGTTCTTTGAGGAGGGAGTTGATGAGTGAGAGGGCTTCGGTGTAGGAGTGTTTTTGTAGGTAGAGTCCTACCAGACGGGTTTCGAGGTTTTGACGGAGGAAAGAGCGCCTCTCTTGGATGGCCCACTCAATACAGGATTTTGTAACGGATATTTGGATGTCGAGGGTATCAGGAATAGTGGTAAAGAGGTCGATTAGCTGGCGGACTGGAAGTGGAAGTAGCCGTTAGCCGAGTTACAAGGTTAGAAGGGGGGGATAATGTCGTCCTTACCAATCTTTGCAGTCTTCGCCTTCGCAAATGAAGACATTATAGATCGGCTGGCCTTAATCAACTCTGCGAGCTCTCCCGTTCGTCTTCAAGCGATTAGCAATCCACTCAACCAGATTGAAATTCAAACCCGGATCCATCTGGTCCGCGCAACCCCCGCCATCCGTATCTCCAAAACTAACCTAGCATCCCTATAGATCCCACCCAACGCAACCAACACCAGTTCGTATTCCCTCAGCTCAGCATCGTTCATCCCCGGTGGCTTCGAAATCATCTCCTTATACATGGCTTCCGCCCTTGCAGGATCCCTCTTCTGAATTTCTTGAGCTTCCTCTAACCGACCCATGGCGAAGGATTTTCGATTTCGTTATCTGGGGAGCGTGAGGGGATGGATGAGGGATGAATGAATTTGGCGTGTTGAAGGATGGAGGTAGTTTGGTTGATGTTGGGTTGCTCTAGTTGACTTTTGGTGTTGGTGGTGGAGATTCGGCGCGAGAGCTGCCAAGACTGTCTTAGTAATCGTTCCAAGTCAATGAGAGGGGCAGTGGGAAAAGCCCTCTGCCCTGATGATGTCGTATGAGGAGTGAGGGGGAAATCTTTTGTATGATAATATTATGATAATAATATCATTCTCGTAGATTCTAAATTAGGTAAGCCTTGCTATGGGGTTCTGGGAAGTTCTCACAAGCAGCTATACGAATACGCTTGTTCCTTGTGAGAAGTTCTCGGCTATGGAGCATGACAGGACGCCCAGGACTCCGCCCTCGTTATGATAAAGGTATCATACTATCATAATACCAAATTGCCTGAGCAATGAGGAATGCCCATAGCCTGTTGGAACAGCTCGTATGATACCAAACATCCAGAAATTCAAAGCCACCAGCAGAACCTACAGAAGAGGAAACCAACCACAAGCCACTCGGACACCCCCCCCTCCTCCCTCAGGCGACCAAACATGAACAGCAAAGTTTCCAAAGGTAAAATTGATAAAATCTCGCAGCTGAGTACCGTACTCGTACCTACCGTACAACGATCCCTCGCCGCATAAATTCCATTATTATTCTCAAAAGCAAAAAGATACCCCACGGCAGGAGGAATAACCTACGGTATCTCTCGTAAAGATCAGCAAACAAAGATCGAATCCGGAGCAACCTATCCCCCATAGTAGTCCTACCAATCCAATCCACCCCTGCACTGAAAGATGTGGTATGCGGAAGCTTAATTAATATTATAATAACATTTAGCGCCTTACCCAAAGATGCTCGTCCGATCTTGCAACCCAGACACTCCTGAACTATACCTGTATCCTACCGGAACCTGCACCGCTGAACCCCCCCCCACCGCATATCTGTGAATAGGAAATCAATTCCAATGACATCAACCTCAAGGCCGTTGCTGAAACGCCCCCCCCCCCACTCAGTAGAACAACGGACAAAGAGGTGTCAGCGCCTTACATAAACTTGGTTGGCCGCACTATAGCCCGCCACCTGAAATCTACCTTGTCCGCCTTGAGTTCAGCAACAATGTGGTGGAAAGTCCTGTCTATGAGGGAGAGGGGGGAGCAGCAAGAAAAATGAAGCTCCGAAATCGCCAAATTTCAATGCTGATGGGATTACTTATAGTTTTTATCACCTTGCTGTAAATGAAATACTCGTACTTGTTTGTAATATCAAGTCAAACCGGTACGAAGAGCGTTTAATGGACACGGACAAACATGATATAGTCCGCTTTCCCACAATATCAGAGCAGCATTCATTACATAATCTTGCAGATATATTGAGTATCTCCCTTTCACCTTCCCCGCTATAACAAAACTCCCGCGTGGAGGAAGGGAGTAAATATTTCCAACCCACTTGGTGCAGCTTTTCTTTGTTTCAAGGGCGAGCAGGAAAAGATCTTAGTGAAATATGCATTTCACACTGATAATCCAAACCAACCGTACCCAATTTCTAACCGTGCCAAGGTTCCTGCCGATTATGTAACTGCACACAGTTCCAAAATCTTGCAGCACGTCTACGATGTGCCTATCAGCTGAACGTAACATCTCAGCTCAACGTAACAATCACCCCCATCACCGATTCCTACCTCTTATTGGCCCCACCACAACACCAGATCGATGTCTGAAAACTATACCAATGTGGAATTCAGAATCGGCAAAGCGTGTCAGAAGTTATCCGAAACTGCTAGGCCAAATATTGCTGCGATGGCACGGGAGTTTAATGTACCAGCAAGTCGCCTGAGTGCAAGGTGGAATGGACGGCAATCAAAATCTGAACGGCTACCATACAATAAACAACTCTCCGAAGCTGAGGAACTCTCAGTATGTATCTATTTAGAAAGATTAGATGTTATTGGCACCTCTGCCTGTGTTTCTATGGTTACAAGCTGTGCGAATTCAATTCTCAAGCACAATCATGATAGCCATAACCTTGGGACCACACCTCCAACAGTTAGATCTATGTGGACGGTAAGGTTTCTAAAAAGGCATCCGGAGTTCCACATTCGCAAACAGAAGAGCCTCGATCGGGACAGGAAGCAGGCTCATGATCCTAATAATTTATTGAACTGGTATCAGCGTTATAAATAATTGTGTGATGAGAAAGGTATACAAGATTGTGATCAATACAATTTTGATGAGACAGGATTCCGGATAGAAATCGGAAAGGACCAATAGATAGTTACATTAGATGTGGATCGCCAATCGTATCTTGCAAGTTCTAGTTCTCGGAAACTTGTTACCTCCTGTGAAGTGATAAGTGCAGATGGTTATGTTTTACCTCCGATGCTGATTTTACCGGGTGCCATTCATATAGAGGACTGGTCTACCAAAACAGACCTGGAGGATGATGTTCTTCTCTCAGTCTTGGAGACAGGATGCTCGCATGATGTTCTTGGGCTTGATTGGCTTCATCACTTTGAAAAGTTCTCTTCCCATCGACAGGTTGGTACTTACCGCTTGCTTGTTCTGGACGGGCACGGGTCACACTGTACTAGAGACTTTGTGGAATTTTGTGATGAGCATAACATCATTCCATTCTGTTTGCCCCCACATACGACGCACCTCCTATAGCCTCTTGACGTGGTGGTTTTTCAACCACTAAAGCACTATCATACCGAGGCTATTGACCAAGCGACACGAACCGGTTGCTCAGATTTCAATAAAATAGAATTTCTTTCCGCACTCACATTAATTCGGCAGCAAGCATTCAAGAAGTCAACGATCCTTTCTGCCTTTTGGAAAACAGGACTCGTTCCATTTAATCCTAATATTGTTCTAAGTCGCCTACAGGAATACCCTCGATACTCTCAGCCAACTCAAACAACCACCCCATCTCCACCACCAGAACAACTCCCGTCAACTCCACAGACAATCCGCTCTTTAAAGTGTCATGCTGTCACGAACGTGGCTTAACGAGGAAAGGGTTTTTACGTGACGCATAGTTAGGAGTCACAGGTACGTTGTTGTTTCACACATATGACTCATTAGGGTCATATGATTTGTTATGTGTGGGATTTGTGATGCTTTCGCACATGGCTCAAGTATGAGTCATGGGACATGCGCCTAACAAGTATGCCTTGTGAGTATGCCTTGTGGGTAAGCCTTACGCATATGATTTATGTTTTGCACATGACCTCATTATGAGGTCATGGGTTTCGTGCATATGACTCAGTCGAGTCATATAACTTGTTTATTGTGTTATGATTGGTTTATGAGTTTTGCACATGACCTCGTTATAAGGTCATGGGTTTTGAGCATGTGATCACTTTGGTCACATGATTAGTTTGTTATGATTTGGTTTCGCACATGTGACCACTTTAGGTCACATGACTACGGGCGGGAAGAATACTATATAAGGAGGCCGATGCGGCCGAGGAAGATAGGTTCTTCACACTTTGTTCTAAGTACTTTTCCTACTTATTACTTTAACGAATATCAAATACCTTTACGATCGTTGTCGTTATTGCAACGTTATCATTACGCCAAGAAGTGCTCGTCACGAAGACGAGTTAGAGAAAGCTTACGATAGGCGTTTCTGATAGAAGACAAGGGTCTTGTACTATCGGTAACGTAGGCAGAGGCCTAGAGCTATCGTAAGACAAAGAAAGAAGCAGACAGAAAAGATAAGTATCGTTCCCCGTCGCCAAGAACTAACTATCTAAAAGGGGATTATTACACATGCAGACTTTCTTTGGAATGCAGATCCCTCCATGCCGAGCTTCAAACATTCTCTCAACACCTTTATAAAAGGAAGTCTTGCACAAGCACATCTCGCCGCACAGATACAGGATACCCTGCAACAGACACAGGCAGCCGAGCTTGCACGATCCAATCGACAGAATAGGTCATGAAGGTCAGTTCAAAAGGGAGGGATATTGTATGTAGGCCAAGCAAGAGCCATGGTGCACAAGAAGGAGGAGGACACTCTAGCTAAAAAAGTGCAACAGGCAGAGCGACTGGTAGAAAGATTGGAAAAAGAGGTATTTCGAGACTGGAAAAGGCAATTGAAACCAGTTCATAAGGAGCTTAAGCAGTTTGTTAGGAAACAAAATACCAAACTTAAACAATCAAAAAGGCGTGGGGTGGTATAAATGTAGTTTTTAGCTATCTACAATTTGAAATGTTGTGTTGAGCTGAGATGTTACGTTGAGCTGATAGGCACGTCGTAGACGTGCTGCAAGATTTTGGAACTGTGTGCAGTTACATAATCGGCAGGAACCTTGGCACGGTTACTGGCTATCACAAACCCCCGCTTACTTCGCGGTGTCCTCTGGTCCCGTCCGGTGGAGGTGGTCTGGACCTCTCTGATCCGGACGGATTGCAAAAGCACCTTCCACTCTTCTTCACCCCCAGTTTTAATCCAGGTGCTTCCGAAACAGCACGCGTAAAACGCCCCTCAGCTTCCGCGAAACCGGTTTAAGAATCCATCAATGGAAGGTCTTCTTATCGCTAACCGGAAAAATGGGCAGGTTTTGACAAGGATCTTCTAGTCTACAGCATCCTCCTCGATTAGCTTTAAAACCGATCTAAGAGTTATTACTTTTATGTATGTAATCTTTATAATATGGGTGCTTTGTTTTTTTCCCCTGGATCCCAAGGCTTTTTCTCTTATTGGGGGGGTTTTTGGGAAATAATTTGTTCTTGCCGATTCAGTTGCCGGATTAAATGTAGTCCCCTATGCCCGCTCGTGTAGTAAGCAATGTCAGTATGATACCATATTGGGCACAGTCTAGAGGTTTACAGTACTCGTATGTAAGCAACCCTTGTGTATTAGATGATAGTAGAGAGTGCGGGGGGTTGTATGATACCGTATGATACAGTACCTGTAGAACGCTCAAAGGGTACGGACTCGATTCTCGGATGATATTATCGGAGTCGCTACGAACATTGGACGCTTCTCACATAAGTTAAGTTACGAGCAACATCTTACCCGAATCCGTG